TGTGAATCCTGCAAAACTGATGACGTTTTTCGCGATTTCGAGATTATCTTCGTGAAACAAGTTGTCGAGATTCTGATCGGTTGGTCCCAACGTCAGAGCGACTTGTTGACATTTGAGAAAGAGTGCTAAACAACTAAAAGGTTTATTATAAAGAACATAGAGGCTGCGACCGACGAGTTCTTTCTCAGATATCTCCAATAATAAATTGAACGATCCAAGTTCAGAAATATGACGACCGTTAATAATAAGAAACCAGAAATTACATTCATCATATTAAAGATGGTATATAACCAGACGCCATCCAACCGTTCTTTGTTGAAAATCCATATACGCATAGCGCAAGTAACAATGTAAATTATGTATAATTCCAAGTGTAGATTTTTCATATCCATCGGTGTGTGTTTGTATGCGCTAAAGGAAGTGGCGAAGATATTAATCACCATCTTCATGAGAAGCCAACAAACCTCATAATGTACAAAAACGTTCATTAAATCGGTCTTTATATTAAGTAAAATAATTAATTCCTAAAAACCAAATTCGAAGAACCGAAAAATTTTTATAGTTTATTTCAGGTGCTGGTGGCCATCTTCGAATTCGATTTTTTGATTATTTTCAGATTCTGTTGCTCATATCTCTTTTAGACATACATAGCTAATGAAAAATGATGACTGAGTCATTAGAAATTAAAATGCGTGTCTTTGCAATAATTTAAAATGAGAAATCATATGACAGTCAACTCTGACTCTGGTTTAATTAGTTACAGTCAAATTTTGTTCTAACAATGACTTATAATGATAGCAATATTTTTTTTATCTTTTTTCGTTATTGGTGAATTTTTGCACCAAAAAGGATATGTAAAATGAACATGCATGCATGTACACTCCCCGGTCAAAAGTCTCCGACCACCTGATTTAAGATTACAGATCATTAACTTTTAAAATGAGATTACGCCAAAACTATTAAGCATAAATAAATAAAATTTTTTTTCCATGCAGCTCTTGACTTCAGCTACCTGAAAATAAAAAATTTTTTTTCTTTTACAATGTCCAAAAGGCATGAACTTACTGAGTTTGAATGAGGAGAGATTATAGGTCTCTGGAAAGGAGGTCATAGTGAATGAAATATTGGAGAAATTCTTGAACATTCTAAAACCACTATTCATGATACTATAACAAAATATAAAAATTCAGGAAATGTTACAGATGCTCCATGTTCAGGAAGGCCACCAAAACTCACAGAAAGAGAAACTAGAAGTCTTGTAAAATTAGTTAAGGAAGATCAGTAACAATCATTAGAGAAAATGACAAAAAAATTTAGTAAATCTTTATCAATTTCAGTATCTTTTAGTATTATAAAGCATATTTTACATATTGAGAGATTTTATGGATGAACTAGAAAGAGAAAATTATTTATTTCTGAATCAAATCATAAAAAAAGATTAGAATGGTGCCATGAAAGAAGAAATTGGAATAATGAGTGGAATTCTATTATTTGGAGTAATGAATCTTGCTTTATGTTATTTTAAAATGATATATATCATTGGATTTGGCATAGATCACATGAAAAATATGATGTGAATTACTTAATTCCAATTGTAAAATTTGGAAATCAAGGAGTTATGATATGAGAATGTTTTGCAAAAGATAAAATTGATCCTTTAATTCAAGTTTCAGATAAAATAACAGATTCTATATATATAAACATATTAGAAAATACTTTTTTATCCTTTTATAATAGTTTGGAAAATAATTCACAATATATTTTTCAAGATAATAATGCTCTAATACATAGAGCAAGAATGATCAATTAATAGAAAGAGGATAATTTGATATTAAGTCTTCCATAGCCTGCACAAAATCCAGATCTTAATCCAATTGAATATTTATGAGATATTTTGGAAAGAAGGATTAGAAAACATAAACCTCATCCAAAAAATATTATGAAATTAATAATAGTTTTGAAGGAGGAGTGGAATAAAATTGAGCCCGAAATTTTAACAAATTTAGTTGAAAGTTTGTCAAGAAGAGTTCAAGTAGTATTAAATAGTCATAAAAATCCAACTAGATATTAATAAAATTCATATTTTTCTAAATAAAATAATATAAATTTTTTATAATATTTATTTATAAATTGTCAAGAAATTAATTGTTGAAGTTTGTGTATTTTTATCTGATTTTAAAGTGATTGGACACTTTTGACTGGAAAGTGTATATCAAATTTTTATATATTAATATCAATATATATATTTTAATAAACATAATGATTTTTTTCTAATTTTTGATTCATGTAGATGTAATTATTCATTAATTACTTTATAGTATATAACTTTTATTAGCATTCTGTTAAACTTTATATACTTTTAGACAGTTTGTTTTGCTTGAAATTAATATTTGTTTGAATAATTGATTCTTATTCTTTAGATCCTAAACTTTATTTAGCTTAAAATACATGTAAATTACTTCAAGATAAAATTTGATTAGAGACTAATTTTGAATTATTACAAATAAAATTACATTATAATAATTTATATTGATATATTAAAATCTTATCAGTTAGTTAATATCAGAAATATAAGTAATAATTCAAAAAATCAAGTTAAAAGATTATGTTATTAATTTCAAAACTGAACAAAAATATAAAAATAAATAATATAAAGTTGTTTTATGTTATACTTGCAAATGAATTGATATATAAAAAATATAAATAGAAAATATTAAATATATTAAATATTTAAAAATATATGATTATCTTTTATTATATTATCTAATTTTTAATTATAAAATTTGATATATAGTTCTTTATATAATAAATCTGTTCATAATAAATAATAAACTTAAAATTTTTAAATTTTATTATTAATTCATTATAGAAAGAGAAAATACTGTAATAATTTTAATTGAATTACATTTCTTTTAGTTTAAATTTTCATTTTGTACTATTTATATTACAAATTATTTTTTGTATTACATTTTTTAAAGATCAATTTCACTCTGGATATATAAATAATTATCATATATTAAATTAATTAGATTTACACATATTATTATGTAAATAATTATTATATATTTTCTAATTTCAAATTTAATTAATAATATTTTTAATTAAATTTATTTATAATTATTCTTTATATTTTTATTTGTTCTTTTATTATTATATTTATATTATTATTTATTATATTTATAATTATTAGCTTATTGAATTATAATTAGTTATCTTTTAGAAACTTAAGATTAAGATAATTAATTTTGTTTAATCCAATATATTATATAAAATTAATAGAAAAAAAAAATTAATTATATCTCTTAGAGTTATTAAAGAAAATGAAATAGAAACTATTTTAATCAATTTATTTTCAAATTTATTATCTGAATATTTTGAACTTATTAATGAATTACAAATAAATATTAGTAGAATGATATAAGAATTAATATAAAAAATTATGTAAAAATCTGTGAAATCTACTAGCAAACTAGTAGAAAAATTATAAACAATCTTTATACTCTATCAAAATTAGATAATCTTTTAACAGAATAGTTATAGATATAATTAAATTTTATAAATTAATGACAACTAGAAATCAATATATCATTACAATAATTAATTATCTTATAAAATAGCCTAAAGCTAAATCAATTTCTAATAAGAAAGTTATTATAATCACAAAATTCATCTTTAAAGAAATAATTTATAAATATAAATACTTTAAAGAAATTCAATTAATAATAAATTAGAATTTGAAATAATTAAGAAATTATTAATAAAATTTGGAATTAAACATAAATTTTTATTATTTTATTATTTACAAACTAATAGAATAATAAAATATTTTAATAGAATATTATATATAATATTATAAAAATTAATAATAATACATAAATAAGAATGAAATATCTTCATTTCTACTACTCTTTTCATCTATTAAATCAATCAAAATTAATAAAATATAAATTATTTTTCTTAACTTATAAATGAAATGCTAGATTACTAATTAAATTAAAAATTCTTATTTATTTAGAAAAAGATTTTATATAAGAAGAAAATCAATATAATAAATATATTATATAATAAATTAATAATCTTAACAAATTATAAAAGTAAAACAAAATATAGAAGAAAGATAATTATAATATTTTTAAAAATATAATGATAAAATTCAAAAAGAAATAATATTTAAAATTAGAAATAAAGTATTAATATTTAATATGAAGTAATACTTAATAATTAAAGATAAATTTGAATCTATTTAAAGTAAAGAATAATATTATATTTATAACTATACTAAATATAACTCTTATAAACTTCATAATCAGAATGAAAATATTCTCAAATATTCTATTAATAAAAGATAACTCAAATATTATTATAATTATCAAGATTACTTTAAATTACAAATTATTATTAAGTAACTTATATAAATCACTTCTTAATTTTTATAATACTTATCTTTAAAATTAACTTCTATCTTATTTTATTTTTCTTTTATATTTATCTTTTACAAAATTTTAATATTAATATTACATTTTTAATAGACTATTAGTTCAGAATTTATATAAATAATCCCTCTCTTTCTCTTATCTTTTTCTTTATTCTTTTATATTTTTCACTTTTTATTAAATATCTTTTACTTTTATTATCTTTTATCTCTTTATATCTTTTTATATTTATTATCTTTTATCATTTTATCATATCTCAATTATCTATTTGAATTATTTCTCAAATTATTAAATCTCTTGAAAAAATATATTAGAAGATACTTACTTAATAATTCTTTAAAATGATTACTTTTTTAATCTTTAAACTACTTACTTATAATAATATAAAACAAGAAATATATATTTTACTTCTGGATTTATTTATATAATCTAAATTTATCAAAGATATTGAAGTAAATAATATTTTTTTCTTGAAATCTTAAACAATAATTAAATCAATTAAAATATCTTTAGAACCAGTTAATATAATTATTAAATTAGACTTTGACTAATTAAATATATTTATTATTACTTTATCAAAAGAGAAATCTGAGACTAATAATAAAGAAGATACTAAAAAGAAATAGAATTTATAAATTCTAATAGTTTAACTACTTCTAAAGAAAAATCTAAATTATTTATTATTATTCCAGAAGAAACTAAATTCATTTATAAAAAAGATTAACTAACTAAACTTAAAAAAACAATATTTTTAATTTATAATAACTTGCTAGATAATAATAAAATATTATTAACTTGAATATTTACTTTTAATTTAACTATATAAATATTCAAGAAATATAGCAAAAATTAAAAGAAAAATTGAAGACTTTCTTGAAAAATATATATATAATAAACTATATAATATTACTTAAAAAATCTTTTTTATTTATCAGTCTGAAAAGAAAATATTTGATAAT